TCGGATTCCATCAAAAATATCTTAATTTGTGTTCCGAAGATGAACGAAGGTCTTACGGGTTTGGAACGACATGAGGGTGAGTAATTAATGACAGAACTTTCATTTTGGGGTGAACTATCCCTTTAATAAACCAATAAATCCTTCAGCTTTAAAAGATTCATGTGCATTTACGTGACATTGTGTTTTTTTTTTAGTCGAAAAACGACACTGAAGACGAGGAGGTGGAAATCGCCACATGCTCTAGAGGCCAGTATTTCGGAGAGTTGGCGCTCGTCACTAACAAGCCACGGGCGGCTTCTGCATATGCCATGGACAACGTCAAATGCTTAGGTAATGCATTATAAATGATATGTGACCCTGGAGCACAAAAGCAGTCTTAAGTCGCTGGGGTACTACTGTAAATATATCAAAACTTAATTTTTCATTAGTAATATGCATTGCTAAGAACTTCATTTGGACGACTTTAAAGGTGATTCTCAATATTTTGATTTTTTTGCTCCCTCAGATTCCAGATTTTCAAATAGTTGTATCTCGGCCAAATATTGTCCTATCCTAACAAGCCATACATCAATGGAAAGTTTATTTATTCAGCTTTTGTGTGATGTATAACTCTCAATTTCGAAAAATTGACCCTTATGACTGGTTTTGTGGTCCAGGGTCACATATAACAATGCATCGCAGCTGCACGGCGGGTCATGTGATCATTCACCTTGTGCTCCACAGTAATGGACGTGCAGGCGTTTGAGAGGTTATTAGGCCCCTGCATGGACATCATGAAACGAAACATAGCCAATTACGAGGAGCAGCTGATCACGCTCTTCGAGAGTCACATCGCAATAGAGGAGCCGAATGCATGAAATCAGTTAATCAGAAACAATCGCAAACTTAAAATGCAACGTGAAACGATGAGAAAATGGTAAGTAGAGGCCTGTCATCATGGTCAAGAAATCATGTTAACATACTGTAGGTCATAAGCTTGAAGTTATTGTTTTGCATTCACAGATGTGAAACTCCGGTGTGTGTCAATGATAATGGTTTTTTTTTTAGATGTGAAAAGCCAAATGTGAGCGCTTTCCTCCAGGGTACTCAAGGTTTATGGGAGATTCCTCATGGTTATTTAGTTTGGGGATTTGGTACCGGTGTGTTTATCGAAATTGTTCTCGTGTTTTTTAAACTTGGTTTGTGTTTCTTTCACATGCTGCATCTTTTACAGTGACGTCCACACAAAGACTGCATTGTTATGCCATATACAGCACAGTAATATGTTAATTTATTCTTTTAAAGCTATACTTCTGAATTTTCAAATCTGCTGTTGAGCATTTGTCAATGTTTTCAGTGTTATGCAAGTCATTTTTACTGCGAGCCACTATTTTTGACTAAACATGAATTCTGCATCTGAGCTTCATGAATTGCATCTTGATGACGCCTGTTACACAAAATGTGAACAGTTACTTCTAATGAATTATGGACTACATGCCAGAGTTTAAAGTCAACATGAAAACTAAATTGAACATTTACTTAGAGCACATTAATAATAAATAAAAGTTTGTATTAAACTCATAAATGCGTCAGATTACAGAAGTAAAATGAGTTGCCAACTGTTTCACGTTGACTTTTATACTCCAGTTTCATTACATTTCCATGAGTTAGTAAACTTTCAAATTGCTTGAGAATACGATATGAGAAAAGGAGATGGAGATGCACAGACTCGATTACATATAAAAGTGAAAATGCAGTCTGAATATTATTGCACTTTGATGCCAGTGTAAATGGAAATACCTAATTTAATGGATTAGCTCACCCAAAAATGAAAATGTACTCATCCTCAGGCCATCCAAGATGTAGATGAGTTTGCTTCTACATCAGATTTGGAGAAATGTAGCATTATATCAGTTGCTCACCATTGGATGCTCTGCAGTGAATGGGTGCCGTCAGAATGAGAGTCCAAAAAAAAATCATCTAATCTAAATCAGATGCATTACTTGTGGATTATTGTGATGTTTTTATCAGCTGTTTGGACTCTCATTCTGACGGCACCCATTCACTGTAGAGGATCCATTGCTGAGCAAGTCATGAAATGTTACATTTCTCCAAATCTGATGAAGAAACAAACTCATCTACATCTTGGATGACCTGAGGGTGCGTACATTTTCAGCAAATGTTCATTTCTGGGTGAACTTGAGGTCGCACAGCGCTACATGTTTTCAATTCCTTGTTTTTGCACAATCTTTTAGAGAAACTCCTCACCGTCACATAAGAATAGTAAATGTAGGCATTGTGTATCTTCAGTTTTAAAACGGTGTAGCACATTTTTTATGAATTGTTCACATCTTCAATTTTTTTGAATAACTAAAGCATTTCACAATGAATTAAGATGTATTCAACATGCACAAATTGTACATTCACATTCGTTTTCTAGATGCTCAAAAAGTTACCAACGACATTTACTCTCTCTGAAAAAGTCTGAATGATTCCTCTCTTTTCCTGTGTATACTTTTGAGTTACGTTTACCTTGTTTCTGGTAGCTTTTGGCATTTTGATAATGTTCTTCAAAACACTTGCTTTATTCTTCATTTCTGCAGTATTTGGACACTTTTTTTCTCGATCTCTTGATGTATGAGCAGTTTGTCCTTGTTGATTGGATCTTTTGCTTCACAGCAAGTCATATGCATTACTAGTAGTATCCATTTCTTCCTAAAACATTACTGAATTCATTACTGTCTACCTCTAATATGAACAGCTTAGCCATCATCACCTCTTCCCATGTAGATCCCCACAGGTTTGTCTGTTGGTAAACTAGCCTGTAGTGAATCCCTAAACCATATCTGTGTGTCAGTGTAACTTTACACCATTTCTACCCTGTTCACCGGGGGGGGAAAGACTTTTAATTGCCAATCAGTGCTCATTTCTGTACCATTTCTGTGTGAATTTCTGCCGCCAAATTGAGAAGTCGCTAATGCTTTTTATGTCCTGAAAATGGATCAAAGGTCTACAGTCTCTTGGTGCAAGAGAGCCCAGTACTATACCGTCAGTTATATTTGACTTTCCATTCAAATAAAGAACAATTTTGTATTTAAAAATCAGTTGTGATTATTACAGCCAAGTCCTATGCTACAAATTATTCATTTTCATTCATGCATAATATGCATGTATTATATGTCATGATGCATGTGTTACCTCACGGAGTAACATTAGAAATAGAAATAGCAGTAATATTACCCAAATCATGCAAGGACCAATGTTGTTTTATGTCTGTTTACAACGTTTTAAGACAATACATACTTCATCCCCCATTTAACAAAGCGGGAGGGTCTTTCATTAAAAAAAATCCCTGTCAACCAATGAGATTCACGGCTGATGTAACGGGCATGCAGAACTGGCCAATCACAAACACAATAACAAACCCATCCATGTCTAACCCAGTGTGCGTGCGACTAGCCAATCGCGCTTCGAGCTCACCAAACTGACGTGCGTCTCCACCAATGGGAGGCCAGATCTAAAAGTAATCAGTCCTGCCTTCGCGGAGAATGCCAGAGATACTCGGTAATGGCGACAGGTTTGGTAAGTAAAAAAAAAGTTGTTGAAATATTACCACGAAACGAAACGGTAATGTCAATGAACTTTATTTTGCGTGGCTATTTTAGACGGTGACGGTTGAGGCCGCGGGGAGCAAAAAGACTGTCATTCATTGTTACGATCGCAAATGACAACTTTTTACTTGATGTTTTTTTTTTTCCTCTGTGACGTTTGTTGTTTTGCTTGTGGTTTAGTAATTCTCCACCTCACCATAGCGACGATAATTAAACGCAGCCAGTCGTGTTTTTTCCCGTAAAACCCAGAAGAAAACAGGGTCTCCATTCATTACAGTGGGGTAAAAGGAAGGACTTGATGTACCGTGTCTCAACTTGTTGACATTCTTTTGTTTACAGCTCCCACTGTTGACATTCGAGTTAATTTTTAAGCATTTATCTAAATTATTCTACATCGATCAAACGTCTGAGAGCTGGGTGGTCTGTATAAGATGTGGTTTGATTAAATACCGCAGATGTTAACGAGTATTTGGCGATTTTTTTTCAAACAAAGACCTTCGTATTGTTGCGACAGCCGTATTGAAGTTATTGTTCTCGTGTTCAGCTTTAACAACGACAATATTCGTGGTAAAATATCAGTTATAAACCAAAACATCTATGCGCTTCCGTCTGTTTTGTTTTTGTTTGTTCGCGAGTGCAGAAAAATCGTATTTTCTTCCTGTGTGGAAAAACTGAAACCGTCGAGCGAGCAAAAATGGCCACAAATAAAGCTTTCCGCTCATATACACGGACGTATCTTCGATCGGATCGAACGGGGGGACTTCCATCTGCGATTCTCAAAAGTTATGGAGGATTTTCTAGCGCAATCTATCGCTGTTATTGATCCCCAGTTGTTACGCAGTTATGAATGAATGAGCTGCGCTGCGCATGCGCCAAATCCCAGAAAGTTTATAAACAAGCCTTGCGTGCAATGCGGGTCACGTGACCACGCTTCACAGACACGGGCCACAAACAAAACGCGTTATTTAACACGACACGAAATTTGCTTTATTAAGGATTCAAGCCTTGACGACTCTCGTTTAATTGTGAAATGAATGTTACCAGTGCTCAACGTGATCGAACAGTGGCCAAGAGCATATTGCACAATAGGCTACCCAACAGAACGTTTGTTGTTCCAGTGTTTACTTCTGTTGTCCCGCATTCATTCATTCGTTTCATTCATTCAATACAAATGCCTACAAAGTAAAACCTGTGCAAGTAAGCTGGTTTGGAAATTACCTACCCGTTTTGCTTTCACTTTAACGCTTCTCTTGCATTCACAGCCTGCCCAGCTGACATGTTATAAAATGGTATGGGAAGTGAAAACTCAGTCGGTCCCTCAGAGAGTCCAGGAAGTCCAGACACAGAGCTCAGGTATGGACGAGGCCTTCGATCTGCTTAAATGCAATGAGCGCCTGCCCTCCTCACCTGGCTGCCCTTCTAACGAGAGTCACATGGAGTACGGTAATTAGATTTACCACTCATGTTTTCTTCTGAAAGGGTAAAAATCAAATTTCTGATTTCAAATACTATTTGCAATGACAGTTTCGGTCTCTGCAGATGACCTGCCTGAGCTGCAGGAGGTGCGGGATGACCAGTCGACCCCGGGTGTGTTCCAGGTGGCCCCGGGTGTGTCGCATCATGAGGAGGGGCCCATCGAGGGCCGGAGCTCCAGGCCTGAGGGCAACGTTTCACACACAAACTGGCTGACCGAGCTGGCCAACATCGCCACTAGCCCTCAAAGCCCCCTGCTCCAGAACGCCCCACACAACCGGTCAGGAAATCCTGGCATTTATACAATTGCACAAGAATGTAAATTGCACAGCTCGGACTGTACTGATGATGCATTTTCATTGCAGGTCTTCTCCTGTCCACATCTTCTCCAACAGTAGTAGTTTACATTCCTACGCTAGACCCCCTCTGTCTTCCAGCAGCGCCCCCAGTCCCGCCCGCAGCCACATGAGAGAACGCCGCCGCACCAGGGTACCACCGCGGGCCTTTACAAATGCAAACACTTATAATGGGATTTCATGAATGGCTTAAGAGTTTTTGAGAATGTTATGTGCTGCTGTTATCAAGATCCAGAATAAACTTATTGCCACACTTGCCAATGGTGAGTGAACTGAGAAAGTTTGCCATCCATGAAATCAGGAAGGGGGCCAACACTTTTTCACACCACTGTATATATATCAGCCATTTTGTCATTTACGGCATAGCAGTGTAAATTTTATATCATTTATATACTATTATAGTATTTATTTCTATTTTTAATTAGGTTTTATTTTTATAGCTTCAGTTTTTTTTATCAAGGTTATTTATATACTATAATTTTTATTGATATTTTTAATTGGCTTTTATTTTTATATTTTCAGGTTTCATTTGAATTTAATATTTTGTAATTTTGTGTGCTTTTTACATTTTTATTAGTTTTTATTTTTTTAATTATTTTCTTTTTAGTTTGTTTTTAATTTATTTATTTCCAGTTAGTAATCGTAGTGCTTCAACTTAAACTTATTTCAGTTGGTTGCCAAAAGCAACATGGTCTAATTTTTTTTTACGCTTTTCAATCTAATACTTATATTTCATTTATTTTAGCTTTATTTCAATAAACAAATGTTCTGAATAGTTTTAGTTGTTCTTAACTGTAATAACCTGGTTTTCATTTAAATTTTAGTAATATTGATTTGCTTTTATTTATTTAAAAATATTTCTGTTTAGCCTTATTTTTATTTTTTTATTATTTGTATTTATATTCTCTTTTTTTTTCATTTCAGCTTTATTTGAACTAATTTTTATAATTAAAAAATATTTCTGTTTAGCCTTATTTGATTTCAGTTATAGTAATTTTAGTTCTTAAACTTATTTCAGTTCATTTTCTTTTTTCCAATTTTTTTCATCAAATTTATATTTTGTTTCATTTCAGCTTTATTTCAATTAACGAAAACTAATTTTAATAGTTTTAGTTAGATAACATCCATCAT